CCGCGCCGGCTCCGCCCGCCGCCTCGCCACGCCCCCCGTTAACCCCTGCGATGCCGAGCAGGCAGGACGGCGGAAGAAGCGGGCAGTGCGTCGGCCCGAGCCGCTTCCCGGCCCGGCCAGGCCACGTGCGCGCAGGCGGTGGAATCCTGCCCTTGGAATCCTGCCCCTGGAATCCTGCCCCTTAATTACCTCTAAGGGGCCCCTACGTGGGCAGAACCAGTCAAGGGCCCCCAGCTCTCCCTGGGACCCCAAAGCGGCGCCAGTGCCCGACCAGGAGGATTGCCCGCAGATGGGCCCACGACTGGCTACCTCTGGGGAACTTGGGCAGGGGAGGTACAGCCTTGAACTTTCAGGGAACCTGGCATTAGGACCCCCTAGGCCCAGATGGGCATGTTATCGGGCGGGGGGGGGGGCAATCCCTGGAGAAGGACGTCATGTTTGGTAGAGTAGAGGGTCCGCGAAAACGAGGAAGACCCTCAGTAAGCTAGACTGATACAGTGGCCTCAACAATGGGCTCAAGCATAACAAGATTGTGAGGATGGTGGAGGACCCAGTGGTGCTTTGTTCTGGTGTACATAGGGTCGCTAGGAGTCGGAACCAACTCAATGGCACCTCACAACAAGACGACCCTGGTCCAGTGGGAAGTACAGGGTGGCATCTGGGGAGGCCTGAAGAGGTGCCTGGGGGGGTCAGGAGGAGTCCCGGGAGGGGACCCCCAGAGGGAAGGTGATATTTGCAAAGACTGAGGCAGGAAGAGTGCAGATTTGGGGGGCAAGGGCTGAATGAGAAGAAGCCTAAGACACTCACTCAAGCAGGGCCTTAAAGCCCCCCTCCAGGGGCCTGGCATCATTCTGCAGACCCCAGAAAGGGCAGGGCAGGGGCAAGGAATTGGAAGGTGGGCCTGAGGGCAAGTCTGAGACAGTGAGGCTGCTGGTGCCATGGCCCAGGGCAAAGGGGGATGTTTCCTGGGAAGGGGGAGTGAGCCCCCGCTGTCCTGGGAGAGGTCACTCTGGAACCTACTGCTGGGAAGCCAAAAGGACACATTCCTCAGACCCTGTGGGTCCCCTGAGGGCCCCTGCACACTGTGGATGCTGTGAGGTGGGAGGAGTGGGCCAGCCCCTCGCTCCCCAGCCTTCGTACGCACGCCTGGAATGGGTGTTGGCTGCAGGTACATCTCTACACTGTGACCTGCCTCCTCCACATCCAGCCAGCGCTGCCTACTCTAGAGAGGAGGCCCCTGGCTTAGTGGCTGACGCTGTCCTCCGGCCACTCAGGCCGGACAGTGGCACCAGCCCAGCCTCGGTCGCCACGCTGTGTGTCTTTTGTTTCCCAAGCCAGCGCCCACGTGACCCTTTTGTTCTTTTTAATTAAGCTGAAGACATGATCATTGATGCAGGCACAGTTCTAATTTGTAAATCATCTAGAAGGTCGGGGGATGGGCTGGAGTTCACACAAGCATGGTGCATACCACACACACGTGCACACACGTGCTGAGCACACACCTGTGCAAACACCTAGTCCCAGAGGGCACACACTGACCCACCACCTTCCTACTTTGTGCCCATGCATTAGCTGTTATTACCAGCAGTAAGCGGGTGTTCCCGCAAATGGTCCCCCAAAAGCAATGTTTCTTGCTTGCAGACATCCTCGCTGAGCCTGCTGAGCCAGCTGCAGGCTGGGTGGTCAGTTCAGGGGCAGGGGAGGACCTGATGCTGTCCTCGACGAAGAAAGAAGGCTCACCTGCATCTCCCTGCCCGAGCTGGCTCTGCACAATGGTGGCGACTCTGCAGGGCTTCTCACATCCACCACCAGGGACCTTCTTCTGTCCCTCCGTGTGCACGCTTCAGAAACGGGACAAAGATGTGACGGTAAGTCAGCCACACAAACCCTGGAAGGGCCAGGCCCTTCACCCTGTTAGGAAGCTCCTGGACTGGGTGAGGTGCCTCTCAGGGAGCAGCGTGGTCAGTGTGTGATGCCAGGGCAATGTGGCCACCAGGAGGGTCTGCTCATGGGGGAGGGCGGAGGATTCCCAGGTACTGTGTTAGCAGCGTATTAGAAATGGCAGCGTTGGTTTTGGAGGACATCTATGTCAATTGGCATAACAAAGTTTATTAAGAAAACGTTCGGCATCCCACTTTGGTGAGTGGTGTCTGGGGTCTTAAAAGCTTGTGAGCAGCCATCTAAGATGCATCAATTTGTCCCAACCCACTTGGAGCAAAGGAGAATGAAGAACACCAAAGACACAAGGAAAATATTAGCCCGAAAGATAAAACGGCCATATAAACCAGAGATTCCATCAGCCTGAGACCAGAAGAACTCGATGGTGCCCAGCTACCACCAAAGACTGCCCTGACAGGAAACACAACAGAGAGTCCCTGACAGAGTGGGAGAAAAGAGTGGAGCAGAACTCAGATTCACATAAAAAGACCAGACTTAATGGTCTGACTGAGATTGGAGGAATCTCTGAAGCTATGGCCCCAAGATGCTCTGCTAACCCAGAACTAAAACCATTCCTGAAGCCATCTCTTCAGACAAAGATTAGACTGGACTATAAAACATAAAATTATACTCATGAAAAGTGTGCTTCTTCGTTCAAGCAGTTATGCAAAACCAAAGGGGCAGCTCCTGTCCAGAGGCAGGATGAGAAGGTAGGAAGGGACAGGAGTTAGTTGGATGAACACAGGAAACCCAGGGTGGAAAGGGGGAGTGTGCTGTTACATTACAGGGATAGCAACCAATGTCACATAACAATATGTGTATAAATTTTTGTGTGAGAAATTAACTTGAGCTGTAAACTTTCACCCAAAGCACAATAAATAAATTTAAAAAAGGAAAGAAAAAGAAATGGCAGCACTGGCCACTCTGAGCCCCCTGGCATTCCAGGATTTGGGGAGGAGACAATCCTGCACCCCTTGTTTTTTAGAGGAGGAGCCAGTGCCCTGGAGCCTCAGGGAGTCCTTTCCGGGTCTAGGGGTGAGCTCCAGGGGGGCACTGACTACCAGGCTGGCTGAGGGCCCCCCGGCCAGAAGGCCGTGTGCCCCAGGGCCTCTGCCTCTGTCTGTGACCACGTCGGCAACCCACCAGCCTTGCCTTCCGGAGCTTCTGGAAAGCGATCCCTGCGCCGAGGTTGGAGGGTGTCCTTTGCCAAGCTGCCTCATCAGTCGTTTATGTTTTCCTTGGTGTCTTGCACACCCAGTGTTTGTGCTTTGTCAGCAGTCTGCTCCCGCCTGCCAGGCAAGCAGCCGTGAACACCACATCAGGCCAAATTTCATGCAAGCGACAGGAACTCCATTTATTTAAAAAGTGTGTGGAACAAGCTTTCAGGCTAAGGTCATCTTTGTCAAGACTGCGTCTACAGGGTTCCAAAGAGATGTGGAAAAACCCAGAAGCACGTGAGGCCCGCGTGCCAGGCGGGGAGATGGCTCCCGGCATTGGGGGAGTGACCCACAACCAGAGCAGAAGGTGCCGAGCCAGGCGCTGTCCTTTCAGCACTGCCAGCACCGTCCCCTCCCCCGGGAACCTTCCAGGCAGGCGAGGCTGCTGTCCTCTCCTCTTAGCACGAAACCTCGCTGCCTCCTCCTCCCACCCTGAACATCCTACTGAGCTGGTGAGACTGGTACTGCCCCCTGCCCTTTCAAAGGGCACCGGGAGTTCCCACAAGGCACCCGTGCCCCCAAGCTCCCCTGCCCCCATGCATTCCTATGGCTTCAGTCCTTCCCCATCAGGCTTCCCGATCTGGCTCCCCTGGCCCAAGGGGCACAGGTCACTTCCCCCAGAGCCAGCACAGAGCTGACCCAAGACGGGACTGATGGACGCTCCATGGGTGATGTAGGCCACATTCGAGACATCTGGTCCCTCTCTGCAGACCCCACCCAGGAGCCCTCTTGTCATGAGCAGGTCATACAGCTGGGCACTCCCAGGGAACCCTTGTCCCTGCCCTCCCTCAGGTCAAAATGGATCCCGGTGGGTCAGGACCTGGACTCAGCAACAGAGACAGGGACCATCATGGAGTCGACAGAGGAGAAGTGGATCAAGATGAAGACGCAGCTCCCACTGCCGGTCCCCCTGCATGCGGGCTGACAGCATGGCCTGCTTGTCGGAGCCCACTGGGTGCAGCCCTGGTTTAACACGCTCGCTGACACCACATGATGAAGACGGTTGTTACGTCCAGGTTTCAGCCTTGACTTCCGAGGGCCAGCGTCCAGGGCAGGCGGCCGCAGTAGGATGCTGGAGTCAGATGCCGAAGAGCAGCATGTTCTACTTAGCCACCATCCCCCCTTCCAAGTACCCAAGGAAGCAATTTAGAAGGAGAGAGTCCCTTTCCAACCCCAGTGCCTTCAGAAAACCAGATGACCGCAGCTGCCTGGGAGGGAAGTGCTTCACCAGGCAGAGAGCAAGACTTAATTTGGGGAAATGAGAAGAGACAGGTTCTCAATCACTCGACCTGGACCTGCCTCCTTGCTGTTTTAATCCTATAATTTAAGCAACAGGAAGTGCCTTCCCAGACGTAAAGCCCTCTCCTGGAGGAATTTTCCATTATCCCAAGGATGGAAGCCTGTGTTTATTTGGCTTGTCACAGAACAAGGGGGTGAAGAAAAAATTCAAGATATGGAAGCACTGATTTTTATGTAAACATCTTACACTAAAGTCAATAAAAATCTAATTTATAGTTTTTTTGAAAGGACCAGAGCACTCAGTGAGCTTCCCCAGCTCCCAGCAAACCAGCTAAGTGAGTCGACTTGTCTTTCTCAACTCCTG